TTCCGATTTGATCTAATCTGTTCTTTTTTTTTTAGTAGCTCTGCTATTTCAAAACCGTTTTTTGAACCATTAAGGGTGCTGCCTGTATGAAACATAAACGTGCTGCCACATGCTTTGCTGTGGAGCTAAAGCCCTGGATGTAAATGCCAAACAAAACCAAAGCCTTCAAGTGCATGGGAATCAATGCTATTTTTACATTATGAAGAGATTCTACGACAAAGCAGCTTCCAAGAGGACGAGTGTTTCTGGCAATTCCTTCTGTATTCTGCACATGGGCCTGTTTGTTTTACATCAGTGAAATCGCTGTAAATGTGTGCGCCCGCCTCTCATATTACCGGCTGGGTGCAGCGCAGGAGGAAGAGCAGTCATCTGCCAGCTGGAAGGTCAGCCTCTTGATTCCCGGCTTCCTCACACCCCATCTCCACGTGTGGGTCTCCTCGTTGCCTCTCATCATTTGTGTGTGCGATTAAATGTGTGAGATTAAGCTTTTAAAAGCACTCTGTGGTGCCTGTATGACCATATAGACTAAGATATACTGTGTGTGTGTGTGTGTGTGTGTCTGTCTGTGTGTGCGTGTGTGTGCATGTGTGTGTGTGTGTGTGTGTGTGTGTGTGTGAGAGAGAGTGGCTTTTAGAGGAACGGCACACGAGGCGGTCAGCTAGACTAGAAAAGCACTAGAGTTGAGGCAAAAATCGTCTCCTCCACCAATTACTGTCAAAGTGATGTTGAACAAGCCTGACCTGTGGTATCACAATCCACTTTACTACTGACATGGCTGCAAATTCAGCAGGTCCAAAGAGTTAAACTTAACGGAAACTCTAAACAAAACAGGCTTTTTGTTCTGATACACAAGGATCTGAACCAAAATTGAGTCACACCAATTCGGATTAGACTTCAACACGAATATGGAGCTGGTTATTTAGAAAACAATTCCTTTTACATCGTTCTAGGCTAAAGCGCAAAGTAAGACTAAAGTTTTTCCTCTCAAAAATCCTTTATTTCTAAGTGCTACAAAAGCCCCTGTCTATGTGCCCTGCCAATTGTCTGAAGTAGCAAATAAGGTTAACGTTTGCGTATAAATATTGATCCTAGCCCTAAGGCTTAGCTTCTTCTGTGAGAGCAGGCCAATTAAACCCGACTGAACAAACTGTTCATTTACATCAGTCTGTGTTTTTTGTTACTATCAAATGAAATACAAACGGACGGGTCCAGCCTGACCCACTGAAAATGACTGCTTATTGCAAACAGATTTCCGTGTTCTCTAAGAATATATACAGCCAGAGCCGTCCAGCATCTTTCATCCGCCCTGTAATTCATTTCCAAGTTCAAGGCTGGGTATCATTAGTCAGCTGAGCTGGACTCACCCGACGCTGCCGCGGCACCCCAGCCCCGTTGAGTTCAGAGGGAGGGGGACAGGGCCGAGGTGGTGATGTGGGGATTCTTGGCAGAAAGTGCCCAAAAGATCTTATGCCAAGAGGGAAATGGAAACCTCCTCTCATTTTCCTTTCCCCGTAATCCAATGTTTTTAAGCCCCCAGTCCAACCAAGGTCATTATAATCATAGCAAGTGGAAGGGAGCCAGCAACCCGCCATTACAGTAAGGTGGAGAGCCACCCAGTCACTCAGCTATTGGCCCACAAAAAAAAAAAAAAAAAAAAGGGCTCAGGTCTGTCTTGAAATCCTCGACACCTCCATTTAAATGCAGATGATCAGGGGAGGAGAGAGAAGAGCAGGATTGGTTCTGCAATCTACACCCGGGGCCGGTGGCATGAGCGGGAAGGAGGACGGTTCCCTCAAATGGAACCACGACCCCAGCTAGTCTGCCAGACGCTTTATGTGAAAAAGTCCCAAAAACAGCATTTTAAGTCATTTAAGCATTCCTAACTTTGAGGAGTGAATAATAAGGCCGCAGAGCTGCACAAACAATGAGACGGTGCAAGGTCAGAAAGAATGGCACTTTTCATTGTGGCACCAAAGGTCATGTTTGCTTGTCAGAGTGAAGGCGCCATACTGTACTGTGACCTCCATAGCCAGCTCATGTATCCTCCACACACAGACACACAACCATGGACACCCACACACGCACACAGAGCGGTGTGTTTGCTTTCACATGTGCATGGCATGCTTGCGGACAGTCTCTCCTCATGAGCCGCGCCACTGACAGTAACAAAGCTGCGCTCTGGGCAACACTATCCATACATCTGGAACTGGGCAAAGATAAAGCGCCTGCAGCATTAAAGCTGGTGTATTAGCTCGCCCCTCTTCAGCACAGATGAAGAGATCTGAAGCTGGATATTGTGCTTGTTGGCTGGCACATCACCAGGGTGTTGTTGGCTGCATAATGAAAACACACAGACTGACAGCGGCTGGCGAGAGGTGACACTTCCATTCCGGAGTGGGAAGATCCAAAACAAAGCGCAAAAAGCTTTTGACAAATTCATACTTTTCTGTGACAGTTTGTTGAGGGGGGGGGGGGGGGGCAACAACTAAAATCACAGAGGACTTTCATCTAAACTCATGAGGCTCAGCAGTGTGTCAGCCCCGTGCCTACACACACGCACGGATACGTGGGTGAGGAACATGTACCTTACAAACCCATTACAAGGCAGGTTTAATTGAAATATGGTCGTGGGTTTATTTTTGACACTTTGTATGCCTAAAATACAGGGGGAAAAAGACAAGTTTAAATTGATCTTAAATGAATAACTAAAGATTTTAGCCATAATTTAGCATAACATTTCACAACCATCCTGAGACACTGTAATAACAAAAAAAGGAAAAGGCCTTTTTTTTTTTATAGTGAGTGTTTCCAGCTCCTCACAGTTCTGGGTACATCAGGTAGAGGAAATATGGGGATGGATTCAATCACAGTTGGACTGATGGCCAATGTAATCCCCTTGGGGTGAGACACTAGACACAAAAGCATGTGCAACATCACTCTAAGAAGGAGCTGTACCGGAAAAACAGCCTCAAACCTGCGCACACACATGATGCGTGTGTTATATCCTAACCGGAGCCTAACCCCACTTCTTACCTTTGACCAAGAACCCTGAAAGTAACTCTTTGCCCTGATTGGGACCAGGATTTCACCTTTGTAAACACTCTCGGTGCTATGGCAGCTCTGGTGATTAAACGTGAGAGGAAATGTCACAAAAACAAGCACTCGTACACAAACCGCCGCGAAAAACAAAAACGTGCTCTAAATAAATTGGTCCCGCTCACAGGACCAAACAAATATTTGCCAAGAGGAAGAGGATGCGAGGAGGAATTTTGTGGAAAAACAACGGCGGTCCACGCAACAAACCGCACATATTCAGGGAGGATTACTACAGCGAAAAAAAGAAGGAGAAAGAGAAGAAAACAAGCCTTGCGTGAGGTACTGTATGTCAGTGTGTGCTACATATGTTTGGACCCAGTCAGGTAAAGCATGAGGAAACACACTCTCAAATGGAAGTGCATGGCTTTTTTTGGGGCCGCAGACTGCTCCTGGTTGTTTCCATTGTACATCAAAACCCGGCTCGGTGCTTCTCCATCCCTGTGACATCCACACTTCTCATGCAGCACCTCAGTGAGGACGAGCTGTCAGTCCCCCTCTGACACACACACACTCACACACACACACACACCCCAGTCCGCCTTTTCTGCCTCTAAACCAACCACTGCAATTTCCCCAAGTTCAACCTCCGGTCAAACACCTGAGTGGTGTACAAAGAGTACAAAAATAATTTATTTAAAAAAAAAAACAGTGGTGATGTTGGACAGGTGACGCGGTGTGTGACATTTAAGAAATAGAGAGCCCTAAATGCATCAAGTCTTCTCTGGTTTAGATGCAAGTCGCTTGATTTTTGGGGATATTTACTCACTAAGACGACTAACTGAGCCTTCGCTTACACGTGTAAGAAGGCATACGTGATTAAGAGGAGAGAGAGAGAGAGGGGGGAAAGAAAAAAAAAAACAGCATGTCACTGTAATAATCGCTGTCATTACCCACGAACGTCTAAGGAATCCTCCAGTGGCCGGGCTGCGTTATTGCAGCTTTTCATTATCTGAACTGATAAAAGGGACAATATCGCAGATACGGAGGGTCAAACGCACAAAAGTAAACGAGCCTCGACCAAAATAAACAACTCGGAAAAAAGTGCAATCTGCGTGTGTCCCGGAAGGTTGGGGCCGGAGGCGGCGTCGCAGCACCGTTTCCTTTCTCTAACCGCGTTATTGATCGTAGTCTGTCTGCAATGAATGGCTGCAAAAAGGGGAAGGGGGGGAAAAACCCTGAACTTCAGGTGACCGACCATGGCTCTGACATAGCCTTCGTGTAGGGGGGGGTGGGGGGGGGGAGAGAAAAAAAAAAAAAAAAACGGGGGCAAGGGGGAAAAAAAAAAAAACCCGCCACAATTTTAAGTGAAAGACCGAAAAAAAGAAAAAAAAAAAAAAAGAAAAAAAAAAAGGAGCGCGAGCGAATGCGATTCCCGGCTCGAGGCAGCCAAACTGAGCCGAAAGTTAAGACGTTTTTATCGGCGAGGAAATGAAGTTTAGCGGGTAGCGCTGGTGCTAACGGGGGGGGGAGCAGGGGTTCGGGGAGCCGGAGTCTGGCTCGTCTGATCCGACTGACCCTTCATTTTATTGCGGCCAGACTCCCAGATCCTCCCCTTTCTACCCGAAAAGCGACCGAGCGGAGGGCGAACGCGTTACCGACAACAGCTCCGGCCGTTATACCGCACACACACAACCGACACATACGCCAACTGACCGCAACCTTTTCAGCGGAACCGGACCTTTTATCGACTGTACCCTTATTAAAGCCACGTCTATCGTTTATCCACTCGCTGCCGCGCTATCGTTACCCATCGCCAACAACATGGCTGCCTTGCTCGGGACCCAAAAAGGGGAGAAATAACCTACGCCGAGTCTTTTGTCTCTTTCACCTCCATAACCCTAAACTACTGCGCAAAACAACACGAGAGAGCCGTTAAAACGGCACGAATCGAGTCGACGACTTACGTGAAGGCAGGCGCTTGGGCTGCTCCTGCTTCCTCCTTGGCATTTTCCCCCGTTTTTAATCACATTCTCGTCCTTGTTTGGGGATAAGGAGAAAGAAGGTTTTTCCCATTGAGACCGGAGGCGCCAGTGATGGCAGGGACTCGGTTCGTGCACCTGGCTTTGCTCGGTTTAAAGAGTATTGTTGGGGAATGGGGCACACGGGCGGAGGAGGTGCCGCTGTTGTTGTTGCCGTGTCTTGACTATGGCTGCTCTCGGTGCAAGTGTGTCTCCGAGCCCCTAACTAACACTAATGCAGGGATCAAAGGGCAGCAACAGCAGAGCAGATACACGCGCGTGTGCGCACGCGCGCGCGCACGCAGGCACGCACAATCACTCACACACGCGCACGCGCGCGCTCGCTCAGTCGCACACGCGTTCGCACGCTCTCTCGCTCACACACACACACATACACACACACACACACTCTCAAACGCTGCCTCGTGCGCACGCATTCACTGGAGGAGCTCGCCCCCGAGAGCAGCGTATACGGACAAGGTGCCCCCGAGCTTCCAGGGTGTATTGCTGGAAAGAAAATATACTTGATACATGCAAAGAGACGTTATTCATCAGAGGGGGGCCATATTGATGGAGTCGGATTACACGATCAGAGTAAGATGTAAGATTTTACTCGGGGGAAAGAAAAAAATAAAAAATAGCGCAACACCGAGGAGCGATGATGGTTTATGTAAAGGATGACAACATATCTGAGCCCCGACTCCTCTGAAATGCGTGAAGTAGTAAGATGTGCACCGTGGATAGACGTGAAAAACCTCATGTACAATTGACCCATAGTGCCCCATTTATACAATATTTTAATAATAACACAGCAGAACAAGCTTTTTCCTGAGCAGATGACTAATTTTAACGATAAATTCTGAAAATGTTGACTTTAAATTCTTACTTCTGTGAACATATTACGATGGTAATAATTAGGCTGTCAATTTTTCTTTGTTTTATGTCTCTGTTCTGCACTCTTTCCTCCTGGAAAGTTTGAGCTACACTTCACTGCATCTTATTTACGAAGTATACAAATAAATCTAACTGTAGCTTCATTGAGAAAAACATCATTGTCATATGGACTCACAAGTCCTTCAGCCTTGGTCTTCCCAGACTCATTTGTCACATATATGACTTATACATCATAAGCTGTTTGTTTAATAATTGCCTACTTGGTTATTCCTAGAATATATCAATAATATATATGTTTTTAAAAGTAGAAATAAAGAAATATCAAGGACATTATGTGAGAACTTTCAATCAAGCCGGGTTAATCGCAGGTGCCAGTGTCAGATAAATGTCCAACAATTGTGCAACTTATTGTGGTTATCTCCTTATCAAAGTTGTGAGAGAGGGAGAGTGGCCAGAGCTCGGTCCTCCTCCCTCTCGGCTGGGTGTTGGGGCTTTTTCACAGCGCAGGCTGTCCCCCACTCCCTGCTGTTGGACTCCTCCAGGCTGTGTTCTGTTGGCCTGCCGCGTTCTTTCACACCTCGGCCGCGTGTGAGGAGAGCTGTGTCTTCATCCCTCCATCCTTCCATCTTCCAGTCCTCCTCCTGCCATGCCTTCCACCCACCCCCAGCGGAGGCACAGGAGGCTCGTTACCGTGGCAATTAGTGAAAAGCCCAAATTAGCCCTCTTGGCTGTCCACAGGTGACAAAGACACTTTGCATTTCTGCTAATTAGGAAACAGAACAACATGATTAAATGGGGCCTATCAGGAGGAGAGTGGACAAACATGTTCCACAAATAGCAAAGAGCGATTTATTATTGCATCTCCTGCACAAAATAATGAAGACATCCCTGGTAGGGTTTTCATTTGGGAAGATCATCATGTTTAGCTGGGATACTGAATATAGAAATTATTCATGTTGTAGTTTTATCTTACTTCGGTTATCTGACTAATGCAAACAGTTGTGTTATCACCTGAACATGCCAATGGACAGTGTGTGGACAGGTGCTCCGAACAGAGGATACACATTTTTTCTTAATTGGCTATTTGCTTTGCAAAATACAAGATTTTCTAACGATCCCGAGAGTCACATGAGAATAAAGCATTTTTATTCACTTCTTGTGAAGTGCTTATAAGCTCTTTTGTAAATTAGCCATAAATCAGAGTTAGTCTTTCATTTAATTCCAGCTTTGGTAACTGTGACTTTTAAAGTTTGTGCAATCACAGAAGACTTTTCCAGCTCATAAAGCATACAAAGCATCTAGTTATTCCGTATATTCAGTGGTGTTGCGCCTCCAGTTTGTACTCTCCTCTTAAATTCCAGTTTAAAATGTGTTCCGTGATCAATTTGAGAAATGTTCCTTCACTTTGAATTAAAAGCCCCAACTGAAACTGAAATTCTTCTGCCAGGTGTTGCACGCTGGGCCCTGAGTCCTGCTCTGCGTGTCCACCCTTCACTTATTACACCACATTAGAGATCATTAATGACAGCAAACTCCCTCGTTGGTCAAAAACAGCATACCCGGTTGACTTATTCTAGACACAAATAAGTACAGAACTGTGACATTTCTGTATTTGGTCGTTTGTGGTTGTTACCACTGAATCTTCACAGTAACGGCACCAAATAAATGGTAGTGCACGAGTGTTTGTCTTGGTGGTGTTTTTATTCCCCACTGAGTTTTGTCACCACGGGGAGGTCACAGCCTGTTCTCTGACCCTGACAATGCCAGGCAGCTGAGGTAATGCGAGCGACAGAGCCGTGTGCTGATAGTAGCCATGGCAACATTGGCATGACCTCACTCAGGGATGAACCTAAAGGTCATTCCTCAGTTCACCGGAGATGAGAGCTCCAGATATGTTGCTATTAAGTGCTCTCAAGTTTCACCTCCGGAACACAGATATTTAAAAACGTGTTATTGCACCTAATTTTATATCTGTACATACGTGTTGGCTATTTCCGCGCACTAAGCTAAATAAATGCAGAAAAATGTCAGGGTCAACAGGAGCTGTTTTTCTATTACCAGCTCATATTTGAAGTTTTTGTTTGTTCTACTTATTAACATGGTTACCTACCGTGGCTCTAGAGTTATTGGGCCTAAATGAGTTTCAGGTTCCTCAGTGAAAAGGAGAAGAGCAGACTGGGGAGATATGAGCAAACTTTCGTATGTCCCTCGGGGCTAACCTGTGCATTCTCCAGTTTATTCATTTTGCTGCTTATTTAGCTTTTTATTTCTCTACTTCTAGCCAGACTTGTCCTACGCGGCCCACGGGCTGGTTCGGGCTAACGCTAGGCTCAGCCAGTCGGATGTTGCCCTGGGGTAAACAGAAACATCTGTCCCCTGCCCAGCCGTGACTGTCGCTGAGTGATAAATCCTGGGGTGGCTGGTGCCAGCGGTGTCCGGCGTGCCACCTGTCCCCCCTCCTGCACAATATCCACAACCCAGCGTTCACACACACACACACACACACACACACACACACACACACACACAGTGACACTCTTCACCCTATTTGCACTCATCCGCCTTCATCCTGACAGTGTGACAGAAGCAGGTGGTTCACTCCCTTTTCGCCCTCTGGCCTTCTACGCTCTCGTCTTCGGTTGGCACATTTGTGCACGGCGCGAGCAGAGTTGTCGCCTCCGGCAAATACCAATGGAGACATCCCCGGACCAGGTATTTCTGCAGTGGTCTCAGGGAACACAGGAGATTATCACAGTTGTTTTATTTAATCAAGCATAGAGTCTGCAGATCAGATCAACAGAGGCACATGAAGGCCTCAGTGAGACGACATCAAAAGGAGAAGGATTTGATTCAAACTACGCTGATATGTTATGACGCTGTTTATGCTACAACCCATTTGTGCTTCTGGGATTAAATTGCCAGACAAAAGAGCACACATGCAGTACAGCGCTTTCTCAATCTCCGTCATGTCTCTTTTTTTACCGCTTCCCCTTCTCTGCTCTACTACTTTTACTAGTGTGACAGAGGCAGGTGGCCAACTTCCTGCCCTTTGACCCTCAACAGTTTCCCCTGCAGTAAGGAGACAGTTAAAACACACACACACGCATACTTCCACATGCACACACAAAGGAGGAGCATACGTTACCCTGAGTGAACTGGGGCAGAGGTCTTGTGAAAAGGCCCTGGAGGGAAGTGAAGGCCCTTTGACTCGGGGACTGAAGTTATTTTAGTGCCAAACCTGATGGGCTGAACAATTATCTTTGCCGTGGTAAAACTTCAATTTACTCAAAATGTTTCACTAAGAAGTATGCAAAAAGAAAAATAGTAGTGCGTTTCTATAACTGCAGTATTGCAATGAATGGCTTCAATACACAGTGCCAACTTTTATAATTTTAAGTTGTTATTTGCATCAAACGTAACTTTATAATTTTCATTGGTTGGCCACGTGCCCGCCTGCCTATAAATTCAGCGTTATTCTCAGTAATGGCTCAAAAAGAATAATTACAAAAACAATGTTACTTTACATTGTTCACATCAATGCTCTTGGTCGCTTAACAATCATTTAGATTTGCAGAATGATTGTTAAGCGATCAGATTCAGATACATTAATTTTATCTGAATTTTATACGATCATAGTTTTGTGTGGTACAAGGCCGAAATTCCACTCAAATATGTAATTTTTGAGATGCACTCACAGCTTTTGCACATCGGTGTGTAGGAGTTGCATGTTTGTTTTGTGCCTCTATGCATGTGTAAGAAGACCCCTGCTGATTAATGTCACATCATGTTGTAATGGAGTGAGCCGAACATGTTCTGATATCTGTAATGTGTTACCAGTCTCAGCTTGATTTTATTGCCATGGTCTAATAGGATATTGCCCCTATCACAATTTGGATTAACTTCCATATCACTGCTGCTAAACCGAGTTGGGCTCGTATGTGTGCAGGCAGAGCACTGACGGAGAAGAGGGGATGTCTAGCAGAGTGGGATGCTCTGGTCGATTAATTTCACATTCAGCACCTCCTTCATAATGTGATGCTTCTGTTTGTCACCGCAGCATTTTCATTATGATCAGTTACAGCTGCTGTTTTTCCT